CTCCAAATATACAGCAAATGCTGATGGACGCGATCTTTAGAGAATTAGTGAGTGGCTCTTAAAAGAGCCGTTGGTTTTGATGCGTTCAAGGACAAAGCTTAACCTCCGAATCCGTACAGAGTGCGGCCCTGTCTCTTCAGAGCATACACCACATCCATAGCGGTCACAGTCTTTCTCTTGGCGTGCTCAGTGTAGGTGACGGCATCACGAATCACGTTCTCCAGGAACACTTTGAGAACACCACGGGTCTCCTCGTAGATCAGACCGGAGATACGCTTCACTCCACCGCGGCGAGCCAGACGACGGATGGCGGGTTTAGTGATTCCCTGGATGTTATCACGCAACACTTTACGGTGACGCTTGGCGCCTCCCTTTCCGAGACCCTTTCCTCCTTTACCACGACCACTCATTTTTCTTCGCTAACACTGGGACTGCGATTTACAGACTCATGGTTGGTGACGAAGTCTACTTGTATATACAGAACTGCGGAGGACGTGATAGAGATCAGAGTATACTGCTTTGTGCGCCTGCGCAGTCGTTCCTGTGAAACTGGAGGGAACTTTAAGTCCGGAAATTGTTTTTAGACTCTTAAGTTGATATTTTGAAATCCCATAATGTAACTCGTTCCTGAACGTAGCCCAAATTATTTAGTGTAAATAATATATTTATATATGTATTTATGTTGTGTAAATGTACAAAGATAAAGAACTGAAGGATTTGACCCACATCAATAATACATGACTATAATTTCACATACATCAAAAGTTCCTAATAACTCTGTACACGCTTCTGATCCTCAGACGTGCAACAAATAACTGCAGTGGATTGCGAGCCATGTTAACATGTTTCTCTGGGTCTCCTGAGAAACAAGATATGGTGAGAAATCATCAAATTCAACATACTAACTTTTTTTCAAATTTCACAAAGAAAAAGACCTCTTTTTTGGGACCAGCTCTGGGTTTTTACATCTTCGTTTTGGATTAGAATCATTTTCTATATTATCCATTCTATCTAAACAGTGTTTGAGTTATTCATTTTTAAACTGTATTAAATCATGAGCCATGAACTCCACATTCAAGACTGGACCGTGGGATCCAGCAGGGGGCAGTGTTCTTTTTGACACACACGTCAGTGGAGAGACAGGACTGTGAATTTCACTGTCACGTAACTCTTGTTTCCTTTATCAATTTGTCTTAATTCAGCTAGTAGGTAGCTGCCATTTCTTTCACAATGTGTTTGGTAATGTTGTTGTTCTGTCTCAGTCTGGATGAAGAGCCATCAGATTTATTCATGACGTAGTAGACAAATAAAATGTAGTTAGGTTTCATCAACAAAATACTAACTAGTTAGGTTGACTGAAGTTATATTAGTTATCTTATGTCATCATCACTTATCTTATGACGACGTTTAACGATGAATAAATCACGAGGACATGCTCTCTAAGCAGAGTGGGTGGCTCTTAAAAGAGCCGTTGGTTTATAGTTGAAGAGCAGGTGACCGTTTACTTGGAGCTGGTGTACTTGGTGACGGCCTTGGTTCCTTCAGACACGGCGTGCTTAGCCAGCTCTCCGGGGAGCAGCAGACGAACGGCGGTCTGGATCTCCCTGGAAGTGATGGTGGAGCGCTTGTTGTAGTGAGCCAGACGGGAAGCCTCAGAAGCGATGCGTTCAAAGATGTCGTTGACGAACGAGTTCATGATTCCCATGGCTTTGGAGGAAATACCGGTGTCAGGATGGACCTGCTTCATCACCTTGTACACGTAGATAGCATAGCTCTCCTTCCTGGTCTTTCTCCTCTTTTTGCCGGTCTTGCTGGCGGTCTTGGTCACGGCTTTCTTGGAGCC